AATTTACTTCTTACAAGAATCGCGATAGTTGATCTTAAAATTGCGTGAATATAAATAACAATTATGGATTTTGAAATCACATGAATATGAAACTAGATATACGATTTTGAAAATGAGAAAATACAAACTGGGATATAGAATTTTTAAAACGCGTAAATACAAATCACGATTCATAATTTTTAGATTGCGTAAATACGAATCATGATGCGTAATTTTTAGATTGCATAAATAAGAATTATGATGCATAGCTTTTAGAATGCGTGAATGCGAATCTCAATGCCTTATTTTAAAATCACGTATAAATACGAAAATCAATGTTTGATATTATAAACCGCATGAGCAAATCAACACATTGAATTTTAAACTTGCGTCAATACGAATCGCTACATAGGTTTTTTAAAAAGACGTAAATACGAATCACAATATCGGATTTTTAAATCTCGTAAATAAATCGCAACACGCAAATATGAAAAGATATGTTTGATATTAAAATCGTGAGAATAAGAATCGAGATATTAGTAGATTCCAGGCTTGGGACCTCTGAAAGGCTTGTCAGAAGCAGCGTCGTTTGAACTACGAAAATCGGATCCATCTGGAGGGCGGGTAAAAAATTCGGAAAATCTTATCTGCTGCGTGTAAAGGGGAGAAAATAGGTAAAATAAGTAAAAATGAGAAAGGATTGGTAGCTATGTAGTTTGAATTTTCTGTTCCTTTTTGAAAATCGGTGAATTTTCTGAAAAAGCAGAATACTAATTTAAAAAAATGAAATTTTTAGAAAATCTGAATTTTTGATAAAAAAGCTGAAATTTAAGAGATAAAAGTGAAAAAAGCGGAAATCCGCTAAAAAACGGAAAAATCTCATCCCTGAATGTTGCATTAAATACTTTAAATTCCTCTTCCTCACTGAAAATTCCTTTTATCTTCTAATCAATTGAATTATGTACTTAATACAGACCTGCCAACATTGGAGAAATAAAATAACAGAGATTTTACAAGCGACATTTTTTAGACTACGAGTAAAGTAGTTTTGATACATCATACTTAATCATGTAAGTCAAAAAGAGAAATTAAAAATCGGAAATAATATAAGCACTCACATTTAGCGAATTAAAAAATATGCTTATAAATCTTAATCTAAAAAATATCCTATTTATAATTAAATTAAATAAAAAAAACCATTTATAATTACTTAAACTATTAACACTTAACATACTGCAGTCTCGGCTATAGCACTAGCTATTGGAGAATAAGATAAGTATTTCTGCCATCAGCGGATATATTATCGCCATTTTGTTTAAAAATTTCTACAAATACGGAGAAATTTGAGAATATACGGATTAACAGGAGATAGTAATAAATTACAGGAGTTTTCGTTAAACAAGAGACTTGGCAGGTATGTTAATGCATCTAGGTTGGAGAAAAAAATCTAATCATCCAGGTGTTTATATGAATAAAACATTTATTCAGTTTCTTAACAAATAATCAATTGTGAATACAACAATTTCATAGGATTTGGGGCCTAACAGGTATGTGTCACCATGATTTTTTTCTTTTCTATGCATCATATGAGGTTTATTTTTGAGAAGGCATTGCCATGTTTCCTATCAGTCAAAAGGAAAGTGTTTGATAACGCAATACTGAGGATAACGTTTCCAAGTTAACAAATTTGAATTGCTTAACATGAAAAAAGTGTTATCAACAGTGATGACTTTGTAAACATTGACGAGAATATTCAATGTCAAAAGAAGGATTTAAATTTTTGAAAGAGTTGCAAATGAGGTTGATAATGAAGAAATAGGATAATGAAAAAACTGATACTCAATTGATGCTTCCTGAAAAAAGTGAAAATTTCAAGTGATTCTTAAACTTGTATTGAGGAACTAAAATGGTTTTATTGATCAAAAAATGGTGAAATTGGTATAAATATGCTAAATGATTTAAAAATGTGCAACAAAAACAGGGTAAGTTGCAGGTACTTAAATTCAACTTCTATCAGATCTTTTTTCTTTTTGAACTGGATAAATATAAAACAAATCATCAAATTTCTTCATATATTCTTTATGCACAGCAAATCTTATAATTTTGTCAAGTATAAATAAATATCAATGTAAATAGTAATTATAAATTATTTAATTACTTATATAATTACAATTATTATTTTAAAAAATTGATGATGTCAGCCTTTGTTATTAGTGTATCCTTCCTATATGATGACAATATTTTGGGTCCCAAAAGTGTCTGTTTAACCAAGATTTCACTGCAGTACAAAAAAAAAAAACATTAATATTTTTTAAGAAACTGATAATATGAAAATATTATTTTGAATTTAAAAATTATAAAACACACTTTTACGCAGAACAACATACAACACTAAAAAATGTGCTAAAATTTAAGATTAAACTACTTAATAATTTTTGAGATGTGAAAGAGTGTAAACTAAATCCTTTTTATGTATACAAACGCAGCAGATAAAATTTTTTTTAAAGGTTAGTAACAAATCTTTACCAAATATTTCTTTAAAATTTTGAAGCAAATACAGTGAAACTAATGCAAATTCACCACTTGTGTTACATTGCTTTCCTATTTGATGAGTCACTGATTTATATTTTTTTTTTCTTTTCATACATCAATGTATTCATGTTACCAATCAAAATATTGAAACATGTAATTTTTTTGTTTTTCTTTTTAACTTGGCTTTAAGCTTTTATTTAGCATTAAAACAACATTAATTACTTGAATGAATTAAAATTCATAACAAAAATTTAATATTAATATAATTTGTTTTAAAAAAATTTGTGTATTCAGTTTTTTTCCGATGGTTAATTTCTTAAAATATCAATACACAAGAATTTATGCAATTAGAAAATCTAATACTGCATTCATTTCAACATTCTAATTTTTTTTTTTTTTTTTGGTCATATTCCTACAAAATAAATATTTTATTCTTTACCTCATAAAGTTTAAGCAGGAGAAATTCAAAAGTTTGATCAACAGTAGTTAGTATATGTAGCAAATGCAAGATTACACATGGGAATACTTATTAAGCAAAATGGAAAAGTAGACACCATTTCAGTTTAACCCAATGATGTATTTAACTAATACTTAAGTAGCACTACCTGTTGTAAATTATATAGTAGAGAAATTTTAAAATTAAATTTCATGTGTCTTTAGTTTTTTCTTTTTACATTTAAAAATATCAGTAAACATAAGTATAGATAAACTAATAATAGAAAATGTTTCTTTGATTGAAAAATTACAATTCATTATAATATGAAACTCAGATATTAAATAAAATTAATTATTTTAGAGCAGTTCTAATTTTCTAAATTTGTATACACAATATATTCCACAATAACAATGTAACAGGTGTGGTACATGGACTCTGTGGGAATATAATAAGTAATAGTATCTAAGGATCCGTTCAAATATTACAAAAGCATAGATTTCGTAATTTTACCGTCAAATATCTGTCAGTAAAAATAAGCAAATCACAAAGCCCCTTAATCCATTTTATGAACTTTTGTACTATGTAATGTGATTATAAAAAAATGACATTTTTCATTGATTTCTTTATTTCAATTTAGAAAGATTTTTTCCCCTTTAAAAAATAATCAGTTTTGCAGTCTTTCATTTAAAAAACTAAAAAGTATTTAGTGCCCAGAGCATTGTTGCTTGTACAACAATTACTACCAATAATTTCTGACAAAATGCCAATCTAAATACTTGGTCATATGGCTTTTTATTAGTCAGGCTACTCTGCTTGTGGCCTTGCACTCAAAAGCACCTCTACATTAGGCACAAATGTAATATTTGAGCAGCCCCTTAGTAAAATACCCTTGAAAAATAAAAACAGAATTTGAACCCGACTTCAAGAATTTCAGTTAGAAACAACCTCATTCAATTATAATACTGCTCAATTACTAATTTAGAATGCAAAATGTCCATTGTGTCTTTTTTCTTCCTTTTTCTTTTCTTTTTTTTTTTTTGTAAAATCTGAAATAACCTTCTGAAATGTTGTATTAGATAAAACTTATATAAGTTTTTTTTTTTTTTTTTAAACGAAATTATTTTAAAGTATGCATTTTTCGTGTTTTACTTTCAAATCTAAAACATAACATTATTCTTTTTCAGTAAATCAAATAACATTTAGCTTTGTCAACTTATATTAGAATAGGTAAATGTTTTGCATAATATTTTCTTGTCCCTGTTAAAGGTTCTAATTTTACTATGATTAAGAAAAGAGTGTTATAATCTAACCATAAATATTTATAACAATAAATCACTTCAACAACAGGGTATTGATTTGATTTTTCATGAAGGTTTATTTTATCTAATCATTATGTTTGAAATCTAAATTGGTTTTTTTTCTTTTCCTTTATATTATATATAAATTAAAAGATTGTAAACCATTTCATTAATATGTCAGCATATCTAAGTACAATTGTCTTACAAACATAAACTTCTGTTCAGATATGATGCAACTGATGTTTATTGTCACGTTATGCAATAAAGAATTACAATAATTATTAAAAAGTTTGCTAACATTTTAGTAAAAGCTAAATTAAGATTACTTATTTAAAATGAAAGTTCTAGCATACAGAAGAGAAAAAAAGTTTTACCAAACATTTAATATGTGATAAATGGAACCCTCTTTTAAGTTAAAAGAAGGAAAAAGATTATTACCTAGACAATTCAAATAGCAAAGTTTCCTTTACCTCAACTTTTCACTGCTTTAAAAGGTTTTTACGCATCAATGTCGTACACTATCTTGACTTTCTTCTTTTAACTTTTCAAATTCTAAAAAAAAAAAAAGACAAACAAAAATATTAGGTACTAAAAAAAATAAAACAGCTAATTTTTTTTATAAATGTAATTCAAAAATTAATCATAATGTACAACACTTATTAGAGAAGGTTTTCATGTGATCTAGTTTGCAAGTCTGCAAACGTTTTAATCCAGATGAGTATTGTTGAGTAAATGAGAGTATTAATGTATTTATGGGGATAAACTGTTTTATAATATATAATTCTTAATAGTAAGATGATAATGGTTCTAAAACCATCACATCATCAATATTGTAAATCAAAAATTCTGGCTTAACTAGACACAGGTTAATCTTATTCAAATTAACTTGACATTTCTATGTCAGTTTATCTAATTAAACTAAACTATTTGATGGGGCAGGTGCAAGAAATTCAAAATATTCTTTTTTGTTTTTTGATTTAAAATAAGGCACATTTAAAATATTTATATTTGTTTTTTTTCTCCCGTTATTTAAGCTTCCGATTAGAAATATTCAAATTATTAGAATCAAATTAATTTAAAATTCAAAGGGCTCAAAATTACATGTGGTAAAAATTTGATTCAGAACACCAAAAAATTATAATTGTAAATGGTCCCCCAAACCAACATTGTTATAAAGAAATGGTATGCTATTATGGATTTTTAATTTTCAATTTGTGTTTTGATTTTTAAATTTTGTGTTTTAGCTTTTTAATTTTCGATTTCGAGTTATGATTTGTTTTATTGTCACAAAATAGCATATTTTGTCATAATTGTGAATATTTCATATTCTCTGTATTGAAATTTTTCCTTTGAAATCACTTTATTAACTTTTTTTTAAACAAAGTCTAATAGATACATGCAAATGGACTAGTGAAAATGTTTACAGACTAGCAATATTTTTCATTACTAATGTTGTGGATCAACGACTAAATTTCTGTAATTTCTAATTTATTCACTAGAAAGGAGCAAAAACATAAACATAGTAACTTTAATCTTATCCAATCATTTAAGTTTTTTGGGTAAGTTAATTTAATTAAGTCAATATGTATTTAAATTACTGATTACAAAAATAAAGCAGAATGATTCTGATATAGCAGCACACTTCACTGCATTATACATTAGATGAAAATAAATTCTATACTTTTCCTTAGAGAACACAAAAACAAACAGGAATAAATAATGTCTAATTTTTTCATTGATTACTATTATCATTTAAAAGCTGCAGTTTTGTTTCTGTCCTTTAAAGGTTTTTTTCTTTGACATGATTTTATTGTTGGGGAACTATAAGGGCTAGTAAATCTACTACCTAAAGTTGAATAAAAATTAAATTAATAATAAAAAATCAAAAAGAGAAAACTTTAAAGATTAAACAAACAAAGCATACAGTAAAATCACAGTTTAATGAATTTTCTACTGAATAAGCAGTTTCAGAGAATCTTCACAAAACAAATTATGTATTTCATAAATTTTTGCTGTGGATCTACTTCCTAAAGTTGATAGTTACACAATTTCTTTTTCTCAGGCTTCAAAAGATCACAATAGTAACTGCAAATACTTTGTTATCATGTTGTTTTACATTGTTTTTGAAAGATAAGAGAACACTTAATTAGTAGATGTAGCGGAAGTTCGCATGGACCAGGTGAAGTTACTTCCGCTTAACTAGCTATTTGTTTTATCATTTAGAAAACGAGGTGAATAGGGAACATTTTCCACAGCTCCCCGAAACGGATAAGATCGCCTTATCAAATTTACAATAAAAAAACTCATTTGTGACAGCAAAAAAGCTCTTACTGAAGGCGATCTCAATCAAAAAGTGTTGGGTACATTTATTCTTGTCGTGGTTATGTTAAAAATAACAAAAGAAAAATATTTTAGGTCAAACATAAAATAGAATAATTATAAATTACTGATATTTACTCATTATGTTTTTTCATCAGATTGACAATAAATATAAACGAAAACATACGCGGAATGAGATGAAGACTGGAAGCAGTTGATAATATTATCCGAGATATTTACACATTGATTGTATTAGATTGAAGCTTACAAATACCTTCGCCTTTGATCAAATTCACACTGTAAAATAAAACATAGATGGCGCTAGGAATCAAAATTCCTCGTAGGCCTTCTGGATCACTGTTTCCGATCGATTTCTACGCTTGAATTTGAAAAAGGGCACCATCAAATTTTATCATACTTGTAGCGTTTGCATTATAAAGCTTTTTTTAATTTAAATTTCTACAACAAAAATGACATATGTTATTGGAAGAGTCCACAAGCATGCTATGCCCTGCAAGATGTAACACAAAAAATAACTAACGAAGATATTTTACACAAATATAGCCAAATAAGGGATAAAACTCAAAACATTGCCAACCTCACAACTTTTAATGTTGTTATATTAATTTTCTCAAATTTGTCTTAGGTTCACAAACAGTTGGAATTTATAAATTACCGGAAGCTCTTATAAATGGTAAAATTACGCATACATTTAAACATAGATGACATTAATAAAACTTCCGGGAATATTAAGCCTGACACGTAAGCATAGCATAAGGGATTGTGGTTGTTGTTAATTTACGTCGCACTAGAGCTGCACAATGAGCTATTGACAATGGTCTGGGAAACATCCCGGAGGGTGATCCAAAGACATGCCATCACAATTTTGATCCTCTGCGGAGGGGATGGCACCCCCGCTTCGGTAGCCCGACGACCTGCGCGCGAAGTCAAGCACTTTACGGTGGCACAGTTTAACGAGGACCAATACCGCACACCCTCGATCCCTACGCAGACTGATCCAAGTGGTCACCCACCCGCACACTGACCGCAGCCAGTGATGCTTGACTTCGGTGATCTGCTGGGAACCGTGTCTTAACGATCAGTCCACTGCGGGACTAGCATAAGTGGAAGGGTACACTGAGTTATTTAGTTTTTTTTTTTAGTCCGAGTTGCTAGTTTTTACATTCATTCAAACATCCATTATCGAATGAAGTAATTTTAGGATTTTCGGGGAAATTTCTTTTGTTACACGCGAGTATCAAATAACTCTAATATTTTCATTTTCACATGGATGGTGCTTTCTAAACTAGGGTGTACAGCAAAGTCTTGACTGCCTATACTTCCAGGTTACTGTTTTTGGTGTGTTTTTATGCTATTTGGCTCCCCTCGTGATCATCGTGTTTTGAGACGTATACGCGTATTTGTTTTCTGATTTATTATTTGTGTTTAAAAGAAGAATCACTATGCGAATCGTCATTTGAAGACCTGTCTCTTTAAAACATAAGAATTGTCACTTGAAAAAATAATCGATATGAAACAATCCTTACCTTGTTAATAATATACCAACTTCGAAATTTAAACGTCCCGCAGTGGACTGATCGTTAAGACACGGTTCCCAGCAGATCACCGAAGTCAAGCATTACTGGCTGCAGTCAGTGTGCGGGTGGTTGACCCACTTGGATCAGTCTGCGTAGGGACCGACGGTGTGCGGTATTGGTCCTCGTTAAACTGTGCTACCGTAAAGTGCTCGACTTCGCGCGCAGGTCGTCGGGCTACCGAAGCGGGGGTGCCATCCCTTCCGCAGAGGATCAAAATTGTGATGGCATGTCTTCGGATCATCCTCCGGGATGTTTCCCAGACCGTCGCCAATAGCCCATTGTGCAGCTCTAGTGCGACGTAAATTAACAACAACAACAATCGAAATTTAAACCTGAATGATAATTTGCAAAATGAACATAATCTCGCTGCTCGAACAATATTAAAACTGGATTATTAACGGAGCACGACTGGCACCAAGAACAAACAGCAATAAGCAAATAAAATAGGACGTATCAGAACTGCCAAAAAAGCTAGTTCTATCTAAATATAGTTTAAAGCTTCACACAACTCTATTTTAGATATACATACATAGTAAACTTTAGGGTCACGTTGTGTACCCACTGTGGGTCTATAATTATTTCCTTTGGTAGGGTACACTATTCCTAGGTAATAGAACACGTGGCCAAATTAAAATATTATAAGTTAATATTAGGGGCAGATATCGTGCCGTTTCTTAAGAATGAAAAGTGTCTTCGAATTTCCTTGTTTCAATACACTATTTTAAATATACATTGTGTACCCCCTATGCTGTCTATAATTATTTCCTCTTTTAGGGTGCACTATTAACCTGTAATGTAATACGTGTTCCAAATAAAATATTATGGGTCTATATTGAGGTCCAATATCGGGCTTTACGTTAACATTGAAAAATGACTTCCCGCCTCCTAATTTTAAAGGGTTTTAGAAGGCGAATTTCCTCATTTTAAAGCTTTACGCAACTCTATTTTAGATATACATACATAGTAAACTTTTTGGTCATGTTGTGTACCCCCTATGGGGTCTATAATTATTTCCTCGGGTAGGGTGCACTATACGTAGGTAATATAATACGTGGCCCAAATAAAATATTATAGGTTAATATTAAGGGCAGATATCGTGACGTTTGTTAACATTGAAAAGTGTCTTCGAATTTCCTTGTTTCAATGCACTATTTTAAATATACATTGTGTACCCCCTATGGGGTCTATAACTATTTCCTGCGGTAGGGTACACTATTACCCTGTAATATAATACGTGGTCGAATTAAAATATTATGGATCAATATTAAGGTCCGATATCTTGCCTTGCGTTAGTTAACGTTGAAAAATGTCTTGGAATTTTTTAAGCTTTTTAGAAGGCGAATTTCCTCATTTTAAGCTTTTCAGAACACTTATTTTAGATATACATATATAGTAAAATACAGGGCCATATTGTGTACCCCCTAGTGGGTCTATAATTATTTCCTTTGGTAGGGAACACTGTTCCTAAGTAATATAATATCTGGCCCAATTAATATACATTTAGTTTAATATACGTATATTCAATATATGTTTAAATGACTAAAGCAAATTTTCGCTGCAAAGTAACCAGAATTACTTTATATCATTAATATCTTATGAAATACAGCCTATTTGAGCTTAAAATCGATTTAATTATTTTCTTTTCTTAAAAACAAATTATCTGTTCGAAAATATCGCCACACAGAATAAGCTGTAGTAAGCAGCTGTATACTTTCTAACCGGAAGTAGAGCAGATCAAGTTAGACATTGTTATTGTTCACATTTGTATTGAAAACACCATCCATTAAAAACAAAATTACCTGCTTTAAAATTCGGCTTGCTGAATAAGCTGTAGTAAACAGCTCTATACTTTCTGAATGGAAGTAAAGCAAGTCAGGAACTGGAGATAGTTGCTGTTTATATTTATATTGAAAACACCATCCAATTATGAAAAAGGACTAACGAAAATAAATATATCCTCTAATTCCCTATGACTCTTGATTTTTTTAAAAACTTTGTTGCCATTTTGATACTTTGAAATTCGCATGAGAACCATTTCGCGATTTGTCTTAACAGGTTATGAAGATATTTTTCGCAGAAAACTTCCGGTGTATCTCTCCGCTTATGTTACAACATTAGCTGGCATAATACAAATTGTTATAACATAAGTGGCCTCATAAGCGTAAGCATATATGTTTACGTGGTGTTGTGTAAACAGGCTTGATATTCTGGAAGATTTATTATTGTTATTCTTGTTTACACTTCTGCGTAATTTTACCATAGAGTTTTCTGTATTTTAAAAATTCGAACAGGTCCTGAGCCTAAAACAAATTTAATAAAATTAATATAAGAACATAAAGTCCTGTAGTCATGCTTTGAGTGTTATCCAATATTTGACTATGTTTGTGAAAAATAGTACCTTTTGTTGTTTTTTGAATAGCTTCATAGCAAGCTTGCGGAGTCCTCCGAATTCATTTGTTGTTTGTTACGTTGAAAGTTAGATTGAAAGAGCGTATTTTATTGTAAACACTCCAAGTATAATAATATTAGATGGTTTGTTTTTTTGTGGTAAGCCATTATCTATGTAGTAAGCCATTATCAACACCCTAACCAGGGATTTTATCATAAAATTTTGAAAACTAAAAATATTTTTTTTAGGAGTGAGAGAGGTTGGATGGATGGGGGGAGAGAGAGAAAATTGTTTTTGCTAAACTTCTCAAAAGCAGGGCCTGATTATCAGGGCCCGATTAACCTCTGAAAATAGGGGAAGCATAATAGGATTTTAGCCCCCTCCTAATGTTACGAAACTAATTACTTTCGAATTGACAAACGAATTGTTACTTTTAGAAACATTTATTGGGACGCAACACAAACACATACATATTAACACAGACACTCAAGACATAATAATTTTCATTAATCCCAGTTACATAGGGGGCGCTGCTGGAGCGCTTCTGGATACGAATATTCTTAACACCTAACATGAGCAAAAGAAACTTTTGATATTTTTCGCCCAACGCCCATAAACAGTACATTTTAAAGAGACAAGAACCATGTGAAAACTAGTATTAGAACCTTAGAAAGGAATACAGAGATCTTATGCAATCATGTAGGACCCTTCTTTACGTGCTTCATAGTAACAAAAACACGAGGGAGTAGCTAGCACATATGTTAACAAAATTTAAATATTTCACTAAATTAAATTATGAAATTACTTGTTGTTATACGAAGGGTTCTTTGCAAGATTAGTCTCTTTTTTTACGCCAATTTGTTCACTAGCGGCAAAACAACACAAAATTCTAATTCAGCATAAATTATTGTTACTGCACCAGAAAAATCATACCAAATAATTTTCAAACATGAAACAAAAAATATTTTTGTTTCATGTGTGATATTTTTTTCTTCTTATCATTTTTTTATTGCAAAAAATAAGAAATTGGGCCCTTAATTTCAGTCATTTTAGCCCCTCCCCCTAGAATTTTACAGGGGAAGCACTTGCTTCCTGTGCCTTTTCGGTAATCAGGCCCTGCTGAATATCGCCTAGGCTCAATAGGTATATGGGACTAGGGCCCACAATTTCTGAGAGGCCTCAGAAATTAGTAAAAAGTCTAATAAAAGATGGGCTAGCTTTGGGTTCGTTTAAGCACTAAATAAAAAAATGATTACAGCTCACAATAAAAAGCAATTCAGCTAATTAGTGACTTTTAGCAAAAATCACTAATTTTAATTGTTTGTTTCTCCAAACTATTTTTATTTTGACAGAGCATCGTTTTGTTGTGTTATATTTTGCTTTAATTTATAGATACGTAAACTTTATCTTCGAAAAATAATCTTCATTTGTCTGCTTTCAAAATTTCTTAGAATGTGTCTCTTGAACATTGCAGTTCAATAGATTCTTTTTTATTGCTAGGACTACTCATCAGTAATTTAATTTCAAAATATTTTCTAAGGGACCCGGAAAATTTGCTGGGCCTTGGGCCTGAACTTGTCTTGATCGGTCCCTGCTCAAAAGTTTAAAAAAAAATTTGAGTGGGCTCCCAAAATTTCGTGCCCTAGATCAGACCTAATCTTTAATTTTAAATAGTGCACCATTTAATGAAATGTAACAAAGTTTACATATTCTCGGAAGTGTCTTCTGGTATTAAAATATAAAATAGTAGTCTTTATTTACTGGTAAGAAATTATGTCGCATTTAGGCAAGTTTCGTTTTTAATAAGTCATTTATTAATACTGCAAAATTTTTAAAATAATGTATAGCTGTAACACTATGTATTAATGAAAGTAATGACAAATAATAAATGATATTATGATAAAGAATTGATGTTACAATAACTTTTGAAATAAAGTATCGAAACAAAGAAGGCGTGAAGTATTGAAAATAAAAGAACTTTTATGACGGTTTAATTTTAATTGTTAAAGAGTAAAACAGGACTTGTTTTACGCGGAAATTTTTATTGCTCAAAGGAATTTTCGGAATTAGAACTTATTAAAAATTTCACCCATTTTTAAAGAATGTATTAATAATTAATAAAGTCAAACAAAATACTTCATATTTTTCCAAAACAGTCTGCGAAGAACTTAAACAGCTGATGGCAGTGTCTTAGATTATACATGAACTGAGACAATCGAAATATTGTAGATTCCACATTCCCCATTTCTCACATATAGACCTATAGTTGTTACAGATAGATCTTAGTTTAACATTGAAACTACAAAATTTTAACTGTGCATTTTACTTTAAATTTGTATCAATAAATATCACTTATTCTTTGATAATAAATCGTATTATTATGATAACAAATAATATTATTTATAATAGAAAATAAAAACACAACAAGAACTTTATTTTTAGTTATTTAACTAATTATTTGAAAGATGATTCTCTTCAATGAGTGGAAATTTCCATGGTGAGCACTTGAACAATTTCACAGTGAATATGTGAACAATGTTCTGAACATTTTATTGAGTTTCAGACTTTGAAAATGAATCATTGAATTTCAATTGATCGACCGGTTACCAGACTGACGGGGATGATTGTATGAGTTTAGATCCCCTTCAATGTTCTTTTTCTTTTCCATTACCATTGACTCTCCCTATGTTCGGTTAGAAGTTCTTTTTTTTTTTAATACATTGACAGAGTCTCCTTTTACAAGTTGAGTTCGAACAGTTTAGAAAGTGGTACCGTTGAATTTTGTTCAGTGAAAACTGAGCAGAAGTACATTATTATCAACATTACCTATTTCTGCCCTCCAGATTCCTCACGGAGGTAGAGATTGGACGACTCATGCTGAACGGAGACTCCCAATTGTTTCGCTTTCACCTTAAATATTTCCCTCAAGTTCATATTCGAACTCAAGAGATAAGGCCGTTATAAATGGAGTCCGTTCTTAAGGTGCTGCCATCTAGAAAGGAGTCAAACAACCAGAGAAGTGTCACTGGAAGGCGCAAAGAAATATAACCAGCAAGAATCCTGCATAGAAAAGGAAGAAAAACCATTCCCTGGGTTCGCAAGAAATCTGAAGTTCTTTCTGCATGAGGGTGCTGTTCGCTCTGTCCATCTGAACAACTACGTGCTGCTCGCTTCCGGGGTGGACGCTACACTCGTAACCACTGGAACAGTTGTCGAAGCTGGATTCGTAGTCATAGTGAGTTCTCTCCAGCCCGAACTGGATGAAGAACTCATTCGGAATGATTTCCAGATAAGTTTTGGAAGAAAAAATGAAGTAGTAGTAATCTGTCTCTTCGACATAGAGGGAGAGGATGTGGCGGGTAGGGAAATCTGGTGAGAGACGGCTGCACCTGTAAGAGGGTGGAAGTTCCCTGTGCTCCAGGGATTTCTTGCACACGTACAGATTCTCTGTGTCATTCACGACGGCACCTTGACTGCTAGAAATCGAAGATGTATCTTCGTCTGACTCCGATTCAGAGATTTCACCGCTGTTATTCTCGTCATTGAGATGCTTCCTAAAACGAGAAGAGAGGAAAACACGCTTAGCAATTTATACAAAATAAAAATAAGAAGTTGTCAGAAAAGTCAGCTGCAAGAAATTTTAACACAGTTTTATACCCATTGGCACAATGGCTGTTTTTCATTTTTTACCCTCTTTATTTGTGAAATTCACCTGGATTAGTATTGAAAACGATCCAGTTTGAACTCTAAGTTAGAATTTCTGATTCTTAATTAAAACAATAAAAATAAAAATATCGTTCAAATGAGGAAATTCTCTTTTATTCACAAGTCAAAAAGTATTTATGGGATCTTTCTGGTCCCATATCTTCAAAATAAACTCACCAACTTAATGCATAACAAAATTAAAAGTGAAAAAAAAGAATTCTCAGACAGCAGCTGTCGCCATAGCAACGCGTGCAATGACGACGCATGCGCACTGTTTACTCTTACTCTTGAACACAGTTGAAAAATATGATGGTGTCCAATTAAGGTGTGCACGCCATCAAACCCAAAACAACACTCATTTTGCCAAAGGGTGATAACAATGAAAATAGGTATCAATAAAGCAAGACCAACATGAATAAAGCACAAATAAAGGTTCAGAAATCTGCAAGCTCCTTCACCTTTGAATCGAGATTTTCCCTTCACTGCCCACGATATCATGAATGAAACGAACCTTTCTTACTCTAGCGCCCCAAGATCACACAGGTGTGATCTCAATACAGTACTCTCTTATTACATCTCTTATTCCTGCTCATAAACTTTGAACGTGTGGACGTATGAAAGCGAATTGGATGTCTTGCTCCTAAAATATAGGAGGTAGTCTCAATCTGTAAAACATGGCCCCTATTGTTTGGACAGAAGAGCTATCCAAAATTAGAAACCCTTAATGTTAATTTAACTTTTTGAGTATTTTGCCCTATCTTGATAACCTTTTAAGCGAATTAAAAAAATTTGCATACAAATGTTAAATTCGTTTGTCTAAAGATAAATCCATGAAAAAAACTAATTTTCAGTATATATTTATTTTTTTTTTAAATAATAGTTGAAAAAATATTGAGTTGCAAGGTAAACAATTTTTACATCATTTTAAATAATGTAATTTTGCGAGGCAAAATACAAAATTTGTGTGAAATTGTTGAACAGTTCCTGCGAAATCAAATTTTAATATATTTCGTATTTGATTTCTCAGAAACTATTCGACCGATTTCGCTCAAATTTTGTATTTTGTCATATAAAATCACATTCTTCAAAATAACGTAAAAATACCTATACCTTAAAACTCAAAATTTTGCTGATTATTATTAAATGAAAAAAATACTAAATAGTAACTCAAAGTTATTTTTGTTTTCTCTCTCGACCAAAGTATGGGAACCATGTTTCCCCAAATTGTGTCTGCCCGTATCATTGTGGGAATAAAAATTTGAATACGTCATAAAAATAACCGTATGTTTATTCAGAGATAGCAAATTTTTTTATCTGATTTAATCTTAAAATATCGTCTAAACTAATTAATTAACATGTTTGAAGTCTTCCCCATGAGCCATTAAGATTGCGTCCTAGCACGTGAAGATCCGATCTTAAGACCAAAAGTTATTCAGCGTGGTTCGTTTATTTTGCCATAGCGTTCTTTTAATTTTAAAAAAATAAAACATAATAATTGTGTAATAACAAATGTGATCGGTGGCGTGCCCGAAATATTGTGTCGGGTGCCATAAATGGCACGGGTGCCATTGGTTCGCTATCCCTGCTATACAGTGACCCCGCACCCTGTTTGAAATAGAATACCTCGTTACCGTAGTCACCGCCACGGGTTCAGACGAATGGCTAGCGGAGTTCTTACTTTAGAGAAACTATATTACAGTCTCAGGTGTTGCGACCTATCTCATTCCGCTCTAATATTTACTTTTTATCGAATATGTTTACATGCATACTTTTATACACATAAAAAATACATATCGTATATAGTTTACATACTATATATATTGTTTATANTTGCATTTTATAGCAAAAAGCAAACTATTTTTAATTTCCTATTACATCTGGCTGCAGCACTTTTCTTCTTTTCTTTTTTTCTTTGGCAACGATTGAGAGTAGCAGTTAATGTTTTTTAAAAACTTGACGCAGATATTAGTAAAAGAAATTTTACCCGATTAAAATTCTTTAATTTTTGTTGAGCGCGTTGTACATGTTAAACACTTCTGCTCTATAAAAATTTTGTTCACACACTAGTTACACAATTTTCAAAAATGATCATTTTTTATGAGTGTTGCTTTTAATTGCAAAAGGTTTTAATCTTGTGGTTGAGTGTTCAAAGCCTGTGATTTTAGGAATTTTGAAGTGGTGATTTTTAAATTAATTTTGATTATTTAAAAGTGATTATTTAACTTAGTACCGTTTCATTCTGATTAAAAAATCTGTTTCTTATGACACAAGAAGAAGTATTTGATGACATATTAAAGAAGTTGTGACAAATAATAGGGGGTGAGTCCTTATTTTGTTTACTTTATGACATTGAGATGATAATTAAATAATGTTGATTTGTTTGCCGCATTATGGCGTTAGTTATTTTACTAAACGGAGTTGTCCGTTTTCGGTTTTTATTAAATCAAAATTATTTCATTGTTAAAATGTTTGTTGGGAGAGTAGATATCAACAATATCAACCTTCATCTATGAAAAGGTACCCCATCCTAGAATCGAGTTAACAAGTCTTATATACTTGTATTTTTGTAATGGTAGACATACTACAGTACTCCCCAACCAGAATTAAATCTGTGATAGAATTCGATGAACCACTATTGATACCACACGATGATACCACTAGTTGGTTCACTGCTGTCTTGTGAGAAGCCGGGAGAGCTGTATTAAGATCAACGTACTTCTTGCTGATCGTGATAGTTGTATTAAGTTCACGGTCGTGGTTGCTCCTGTGTTGCCATTAGCAGTCGAGTGTATGTATGCCGACGTTGTGCTTGTTCGAGACTGAGTAGCAACAGCGTGAGGAGGTAGATAATGTCGCAGTCACAAGTAGCAAGTCTAATGTTCAATATGGACAATCCATCGAAGTAGGCGTGGTCAAATCGAAGTGGGAGTTTCTGTCAAGGTAGGCATGTTCACATCACATCTGGGTCACCAATGTGTTAAGAGTAGTTATTGGCAAAATTAACATTTATCTATGAAAAGATACCCCCAACATAGAATTGAGTCAACAAGTCTTATATGTTAGTGAATTGCAATTGTATTTTTGGAGTGGTAGACGTGCTAGGTTCTTTCGTTTTTAAATACTTATTGAGTGTTTATTTTCGATTGCTATGACAATATTATATCATTGTGGTCACATTTTTTAGTTTTCTCCTCATTTTTATAACAATGCACCCTTATTCTTAATTTTAGATATCTCTGTTTTATGTATGGTTTTTATTTTCTGATTTAGATTGTTTGATAACCACATTGTTTGTAAACCACATTTATTCAATATTTTAAGTTCCCTTTTTTTAAAAAATAAATTCATTAATTTTTGAAAGAATTAAAAATTAACTATTAACTATGTCCTTCCAAAATCATTAAAATGGTTAAAATTTCAATATTAATAGCATTTACATTAATTATAAAGTATTTCATTTTTATTATAATAAATATTAGGTGATAGAAATTCTTGCTTTTTTTTATAATGATTCAATCAATAAAGTCTACTATTAGAATGGAAATGTGATTCATTAAAACATGCAATTCATGGTATGAAATTTAATAACAAAACTTTAAACTGAACTAAAAACTAACTGAAATTTAACTGCAAACTAAAGCTTACATCAGCGTTTGACATTAGCCATGTTAAATGGCTTTAATTATTCTGATAGCTTAAAAGTAACCTGAATCGTCGACTTTTTAAACTAATTTCATTTTTTGACAAAATTAATGCTCAAATGAAGTAGATAATATTTGGGTCGCGGCTATTGTTTGAATAACGGCTACTTTCTTAATGTTTTGATGATTCATTTTATCGCCAATAAGTTTTCTTTTAAAATTTTAACCTGAGTTAAACTATTATCAGTCGCCAAAATAAACATACATAGAAAAACTTGACTGGAAAAGATTAGATGTTTTCGGTTAATAAGGTGATTAATGAACATTTATAGAAAGCAACGAGTTATATCAAAACAGATTACATTTAAAAGTAGAAAATTGGAAAATTTTGTGACATTAGTTGCTATTTAAATTATCTCCATTGCTGTCCATCCGGAAAATTTAGCTCTACAAAAATGCTTTAAATTAATAGTGACATGAAAGTAGCTAAGTATGTTTAAAATTTCGTCAGCACTTAAAAGCTTCGCCAAATACTTATCAGTTATATCATATAGATCATTGAAATTATTTAAATTGTGGCATAACTACTACTACAAATATTAAATAACAATTCACAAGAATATAAGACATGTCAATATAGATATGTTTTATATACTAGTGAATTATTGTTTTATATACTAGTGAATATTTTTAAAAATTGAACTTAAAAAAAGTAGAAAAGAATATTTCAGTGTATTTGTTTTTCTATTTTGATCGTTTAATTAGTTCTTCCACATTTCGACAAAAACATTTCTTTGGCTTCGAATTACAATATATCATCTTTGAGTATTTTCTTTCCCAGTCATTTATATTCATTCATAGACATTTAGAGTATATTTTGTTAATATATCCCTCTGCATAGTCTGCAGGGATGATATTTATGCTCTTAGATAATGTTTTCGCTCTGTATTCAAATTTCAACAAAAAGTTGTTAAGAAATACTTTTTTATACATAATTTATAAATAAATTGACGTGCCTGTTTTTTAATCAAATTCACACACCTCTTTAGTTTCTGTAATTATGTATCGTGCGATATGTCTCTATAATATTTTACATAATTTATCAGTCATATCACATAATTGTTCAATATTTTGTATAGAATTCAGATATCTTGTAGCAATCTTGTTTAATACGGATTTATAATGTATTATTCTTGTAGCACGACAAGTCTTTTTAATTTTTTTACATAAATTATCAGTCATGTGACATGATTGTTTATTTCATTTTGTTTATTTATTTTATGTTATTAACCATCACTCAGGCTGCACACCAATTTCATAGCTGCCAACATAGACAGGAAACAAATCCTGCAGATTTTACGAAATAATATAAATTTCATAATGATTGTTGCATAATGTACTAAATATTCTACACATAGGGAATTTTACGGATTTTTATAGTCATCAAAATAGAAAAGCTTCATATTTTCCAGTTATGATAGAAATTAACATACTTGAAATGTTATGTATTATGATTACTCACAACTTCGAATATTAATAAACATTTAATTCATCAAAGATAGTTAAAAGATTTTTTTTAATTAACTTTAAAAGAGAGTTCTGAATAAAAATAAACTGATTAAATTTTAGAGGATTTTCTAAAATGTAAAAAAAACAGGAGAATTTTAATTAAACCAGTAGACAAGGAAAAAGTGGCAAAATCCAGTAGAATTGGCAGTTATGTTATTTTATTTTTTTATGTACACATATTTCGTCAATCACGTATTTTGAAAATATATATATATATATATATAAAGTTAAGAAAAATGAATAAATAAAAAATTGCGTCCCTTAAATAAAATACAAATTGAGTATATCCACTAAAAAGCATGCTTACTCATGTTCATTAAGACACTGATGTAATCCATTATGACCTCTCACTACTGTGACGTCACCGCCGATAAGCCTGGCACATGCCGATAGCTCCACGATAGATCCTTTCAGCAAATGAAAACCCCAATATTCGTGAGCTCTGTTTGGAAGCACGACGCGATGTGATGACAGCGTCTTCTCTCTGTCCTCCTCCATCACAATCGGTTCCGTATCGTACACAAAAGTCTGAAAGGGTGCTTCAGAATGCAGGAAGACACCCTGACACCAAACAGTCGAGATCGTCCTCTCAATCTTTATTACATCTCCCACGATCACTGGCCTGACACTTGGTTTGTAGACATGATATTTCATGACCAGCGGAACGACAAACAAAACTGTAGCTGCAGATATGGCAGCTACGGTGCCGATTATGCTCATCGGCATGCTTAAATCGCAATCGTTATTTGCATCGCATCAACAATTCCTCCTTTTTGTTGTTGTTGACATAAAACATGATATGTCGATCGATTGAACGGCATTAATTTGGGGAAACTAACCAGGAAGATGTTTTAGTGCCGTCGCCGCAGCTGTTCAAACAATAAGTCGTATTGAATTCGCCAAAGAAGAATAAAAATGGTATCAGAAAATAATGTGACTTGTAAAGAGTGTACGTGTTTTTTATGACAGTTGTCCGTTCAAGTGCAAAGTTTTAAATGTCACGTGATCCCGATAAGAAAAGTTTTATTCTTCATCTTAAGATAAAGGAGGCAATGCGAAAAAAACGTTTAATATTTTAAGAAAGTTATTTTTCAAATGATTAAAAAAAATTGCATCGTATGCGGATAGAGAAAAAATACTATAGAGTAAAAGCTGTTACAGATTTTAGTTTGGTAGTTATGGTATGTAAGAGCTGCTTATTAAGTGAAGCGAAACCGTTATAGAGAAGCTTCATAGTAAATAAGGTTATTCTATTATTAAAGTTCAAAAATTACGTTCGGTTTCCTCCCCATACAAAGCAAATGCGGTTTAATTCCATCAAAAAATCTTCAGCGATGACAAAATTAATCCCAATATTTGATCTAGGAGTTCCCTTGCTTCTAGATTGGGTTCAAACTTACAAGGCTATGGAGTTGAACATTTCCAGCCGTAAGTTCTAAATTTAACGACTGTTATAAAACAATTAGAACTTTTTTTTCAATTGTTCAAACAAACCGCTGCTTTAACAGTTAATAATTGATTTTCGAAGACTAGATTAATTCCTCTGATTATTCTCACAGAAAATCCATCATGCATATGTAAGAACAAGTTTAGAATTGCATTACTTAAATTATGTCTTCTTTTCTCCTGTTTCTTCTAGTAAATTATTTATCTTTTCATAAATTAAATGTAAATTTAATTCAATTCAATTCTGCACTGTTGGATTTTAGTTCATAATAATTGTTAAAAATTTGTAAATAATTAAATTCATTAATATTGTGATGTAACGTAAGAATCATCCTAAAAGCATAAGCCAGCATAATACGTCTACTTTTTGACACTTCCCCTTCTTCTTGAATCAACAATGTGTTATAAATTCCAAGAATTTGGGAATTAAAAAACAAATTGCTCCACTCTTTCATATATTTCTTTAAATATTTTGCACGAAAGGATAAAATTTTTATAAAAGATTATTTTAAAGACTGAATATTTGAAAAAGTTCAAAATAAAAAATAATATTTTTAAAAACCACGTTTTTGTAGTGGAGAATAATAATTAAAAAAAAATTTGAAAAACGAAAAACGTGGGGGGCATGAAATACATAACAGTAATGTTATATTAGTGTGTGTATATGTGCTCTTGAGAATATGTGTATGTATATCTGTAATTGTAATTGTATCTGAATGTGGATGTGGAATATGTTTGTGTATATGCATAAGTATGTGGATGTATATGTGGCTGTGCATATGTATTAGTAAGAAAAAGTGAATATGCATGTGTATGTGTACTGTTATGTATTTCATGCGCCCCACGTTTTTCGTTTTTCAAATTTTTTTTAAATTATTATTCTCCACTACAAAAACGTGGTTTTTAAAAATATTA